ATTCCACACAACCAGATGCTTTGCCTCCGCAATTTAGCATACTGTAACCTCCTCCAATAGATATGTTGGATTCTCCGATTCTCCATGCCCCCGCCTCCAGGTTGCAGGTTCGACATGAGCGGAGCATGTCGTTTTCTGGTGACGGAGTTGAATCACTGGCCCAGTCTGTGCTTGGGGCTGACATACAGCCGAACAAAACCAAGTGAAGACGTCAGACAACAAGCGGTACGGCGACATCGTAGGATCCTTTCCCGGGGGATCTCTACTTGAAGGCGCAAGGAACACTCGAATGGTCGGTTTGCAATGGTGCCCTTCCTCAACATGACGCTTTCTGTATCCGTGTGGGGTTGCCAAAGACGTGCACTAGTCCAGTGTTTGTACATACCTCGATTGCATACTCCTTGGTCAAATGAATCCAAAAGCCCTGATGTTCATACCCCTCTCCCCAAAAGGGGTATATACTCCTTCTAAAGGGTTATGGAAACCGGCCAAGGGGTATGAACAAGGAGTACCCCCTACACCCAATACCCACTATTTTCAGGGTATGATGTCGGCCCTCTACTAAAAAAAGATGTATTTATCATTAAAAACAAACACGGTTTGTCAAAAATACCCTAGAAAAAGGCGGGTATCTGGAGTTAGGTAACTCCGGCCCTGCCTTCCTTTTGGCCCGCCATGCGGCGCGCGCTTTTGTGCCCGAGGTCGGCTGATCATCGCGGAGACGGGGAACTCCATCGCCTCACGTCTGCGGCAGATCTTCCGGCGATTTGACAAGGACGCCAGCGGCACGCTGGACATGGAGGAGCCCCCAGGGCTGAATTTCCCGGAGAGATGGGTTTCAAGATAGGGGTCCCCTACTGTGGATGGACGAAGTCCTGCACCGCCTAAGGAACCCTGGAGTGATGATATCATCCCCTGCAAATACCAAGAAACAATGGTTTCTCATGGTTTTCAAGTGGTGCAGGATTTCGTCCACCCACAGTAGGTCCCCTAGAATGGGTGGCGTCCTTGTGGTTTCCCTTTGAGATTCAACCAAACCTGGTGGCAAGATGGGTGGTGTGCTTTTGGTTCTCGAAAAGATGTAATTCCAAGCAAACCGGGTGGGAAGCTGGGAAGCTGGTGGGAAGATGGAGGGAATGAAAGGACACCGGTTGTTGCTGTTTTCCTGTGTGTGGAGTGGCTCGTTTTCCCGGAGTTGTGGGTTTGGCTGGCCACGCCGCACTGGAGGATTTCGCAAAGATTTCCGTTTGACTGCTTCATTCCCCAACAACCTTTCCTGAGAAGAAGGATCCCTGGAAAGACTGGGAAGCTTCCTTTTCAAGACACCATCCCCAGCTGCTGTTTCTTTATTGGCCGGGGTGGCATGTGTCCAAGGATGGCCGGGGTCTTCCGGGTGCTCAGCCCCGACTTCACCATACAGGACATCGCCCAGCTGCTGAAGGAGCTCGATACAGGCGATGCCAAGAAAAATCCGCGAGTCTCGCACCACCGTTCGGAACCCTCGAATGATTCGATTCCCCGCAAAATCCCAGTGTATTTTTTGTGGTTTTTCAGGGTTTCCAACTGGTGCGAAATGGATTTTGTCCATCCAGAGTAGCATTCTTTGGGCCGAACAAGGGTAGCCTGGCAAACTCCACTCGTGCAAAGGGTACCCAGCAAGCAGCGGAACAAGCCCCAGAAACGCTGCAAGCCAGCGTTCCCAACAAAGCGGTTTCTGTTTTTGGTTGGTCTGAAGAATTGAGCCTAAAGAATCTTTGACATGGCGTGTTTTTGTGAGGTTCTGGGAAGCTGGAGTAGGTTTTTTTGCATGACCAGGTTTTGCCACGTGTGCTGCCAACTTGTCAGGCAAGCCAATTTTTTAAGGGTTGGCTGACAAACTAGGCTGGACGTATCCTAGGTCCCCCAGTAATTAGTGTCCCTTTTTCCTTTTTTGGGGAGGGCTCCCCTACTAAAATAGACTACAGAAAAGAAGGTACCCTTATTCTAACCTCTCTACTGGAGGACCTAGTATTAGCCCGCAAAACTTTCGGGCCCGCATGTTTCTCACTTGAAAAAGCCGGGCGCCAAAGATGCACAGAAGAATGAGCTTTTTTGCTGCGTCGTGGAGTGGTTTGGAAGTGCCTGGCCGGGAAGGGGTTGAGCGCCTTCTTGATTGGGCCAGTGGAGTTTGCTCGTAAAGCCGCCGCTGTTTGCTTCAGGCGCCTTGGGTGCCTTTTGATTCGCTGATGGGACCTTTGGTGTTGATGTAATTGTTTCACTTGCTAGGGACCTGCTGGGCATTTTAGGCTAACATGGAGTCGGTCAGTAAACCAGGACAGGATAGGGTGCCTGACAACATGGCGCACAAGTTGGGATGCAAAAGAGCTCTCTCTCTCTCTCTCTCTCTCTCGCTCTCTGGCAAGGTGTCTTTCACACAAACAACCTTCCCCACCGGATCTGTGGGTCAAAAATGGATACCCAAATTTCCGGTCTTTGACCCCAAAAAACCTTCCCTCCCCCCCCCCTTGCTCTGCGCGCGCGCAAGTAATCTCGGAGGTGGCGACAAGCGGGTGTCGCGGTCGGAGTTCATGGCCTGGTTGCAGAAGGGGCTGGGCCATGCGCCGCAGGTGAAGAAGGCTGGGGGGGTTTTGGTTGAGGGGGGGGGGGGTTTTGGTGGGGGGGTTGGCCAGTGTTTTTGTTTTTTTACTAGCCCCGGCTCGGGGCTTAACCCCGGCTAGGGGGCTGGTTGGTTTGGTTGGTCGGCTGGGCGGCCGCATCCCCGGCTTGGTGGGTAGTTGAGAGTTGCTCGGGCTTAGCCGGCAGCATCGCCAGCATTTCTGGCCTCGCTCGGACGAGGGCTGCCCATTGGCTGGCAGTCCAGAGTTGCTGGGGGCTGGTTTCGGGTGAGTGTTGGGCTTGCTTGCTGAGGTCTTAACGAGGGCGGGTCTTGGGGTTGTTTGGGGTTGAAAGCTGAGCTGTGCTAGGTGTGCGGCTGGGCACAAATCAGCTCCAACCAAGCCACAGGTTCATTGCAGGTTGTTTGATGACTTTCCAGGATAGCTGGGAAGGCGGGTGGACTGTCACAAGCCTTTGGTTTTGGAAGTTGGTTGGCCTGTTGCAGGAAGCCACTTGTCCATGAGAGAAATGCTCAATACTACCATTTCTATAGCAGTTGGATTCCTCTTTTGGCTGGGTATAGGGGCCGCCAGTGCCATCAGTAGAACTTATCAGCCGGAAACTCATGGCTCTTTAGGGCTCGTCTTCAGATGCGGCGGTCTTCAAGAGCGCGGTTTCCCGAACTAAGTCGCACAGTGACCAAGGCAACCATCCATAGCTGCCCTTTTTAGGTTAGTTTGGATAGAAATAGACGGCACTGGTCTAGATCGGTTTTATTCCCAGCCTTTTGTGCGGCATTTCCCGACTTTTGATTCTGTGCATGGTTTTCTTGGTGGTTTCCAGCCATGCCCTCATTTCATTTTGGTTTTTGGTCGGCGTAGTGCTAGTTTCCACTAAAGCACGAAGACCAGTTTTCGTTTTTTTTTTTTTTCTTCCCCGGGCATCAAAGCGGAGCGGCCACCCGTTTTGGGCGGCATGCCTCGATCCTCAGCTCGCCGGGTTTCGACTCTCGATCCTCAGCTCGTGATCCAGGCGATCTTGGCCAACACGGGCATCCGCTGGGAGCAGCGGATCAGGCGGGATGGCGCGGGATGTGGAAGTCGCCTTGGCTTTTGGAAGCTCTAAACGGAACACCTCAAATTCGGGTGTGGCTCAAAATTGAACGATCGGAGGGGTTAGCTACGCAGGTTTTGGCCAGAATCAAAACTCATCAACTCTTGGATTCAGTCTCTACAGTCCAAAACAAAGGCCGGTTGCTTTACTTTGGGGTTCACGTTGGGATGGTCGCTCCACCTAAGGATCCGGAAAAGGACCAAGGATTCTCGGGAGCCCAAATAAGCCCTTACCAAGCGCCTTATGTAGGGCTTATTTGGGCTCCCTCCCCCCCCGCCCCCCTCCCTCCATCCCTCCATCCCTCCCTCCCAGCCCCCATATATAGACCAGACGCAGGAGTCTGCACCATGGCACATACGTTCCAATCTCGCCCGCCTGCCAAGCGCTGAACAACTTGCCGGTGCTCGATAGGGAATGACCGAGCCCGGGGTTGAGCATGAATGAACCGGTTTTGGGGATTCCCTTAACAGGGTTTCTTACAAGATCTCCATTTTGCAACCATTTGACACATGTTGCTTTTTCCACCAAAATAAAGGGAAGCCACCATTTACAAGGCAATGTTCAGGTGCATAATGTAAGGATCCCGGCTTAAAGGAAACCATAGTGGATTGTTTCTAGGGGTCATTCCAACTCATTCCCTACTGAGCACCAGCAAGAAAACTGTTTGTCTGGGATCAAGCCGTAGGTAGCCCGGTGGGGACCCGGAGTTGAAGAATGCAGAGACTGGCAGCCCAAGGCGGCCCATTGAACCAGAATGCCAGATGTTCAGGGAAACAGATAGGTGTGCCATTTTTTGGGACCCCTGCCATTGTTTGTGGCTTTAAAGGAATCTCAAAAGGTCCCCTGAAAAAAAGACATCCCCATAGGATTTAGTTGATGTCCTTGTTCCAGGTACCTTGGCAGGTCTCATTTGCTCCCAGAGCCTTCAACGGAGCCCTCTCCCAGACAAAACCAAGTCCAGATCAGATAACTCGTCTTGGCTGTTTCCCTTCGAGTAGTTCGGTGCTCAGATTCACATAGATAAGGATGGACACACCCATTCAATTGCTACATGACGGTCCATCATTTGTGCAGATCAACACACAAGATGAATCAACAGGTTTCCACAGACTGTAAGGTGCTCATCAAAGTCAGAAGCTTGTTGGTGGTTTCCCTTTACCCTACCACATACAATTTAGTTCGGGGGCGACTTGGGTGGCGGACAAAAACCGGCACCCGGCGCCTCAAACTTTTCCCCCGCCT